TGCAAGCTCCGCCTCCCGGGTTTACGCCATTCTCCTGCCTCAGCCTCCCGAGTAGCTGGGACTGCAGGCGCCCGCCAACTCGCCCGGCTAGATTTTTGTATTTTTTAGTAGAGACGGGGTTTCACCGTGTTAGCCAGGATGGTCTGGATCTCCTGACCTCGTGATCCGCCCGTCTCGGCCTCCCAAAGTGCTGGGATTACAGGCTTGAGCCACCGCGCCCGGCCTGCATGCCACATTTTAAGTCACCTGGATCTTTTAAGAAAAGAAGTGGGCTGCATGTCATGGAGGTCCCCCAGTTAGATATCTCTTTAAGAGAACCTACTGCAAAGAGACAGTGTCCCTTCAACCAAACCCGCTGCATCCTCAGATCTTCCCCAGCTGGCCACATAAACACTCAGGCTACACTTCCCCGGGGCTGCTCTCAGACAAACACTGAGCACGGTGGGGTTCCTAGTATAGGTCCATTCCTGCCCTACAATGGAAGCCTCTTCCAACAGGTGACTTTGGCTCAAAAATGCTGTCATAGTGCATTCAGGCTGCTCTAACAAACAATGCCATAAACTGGGTGGCTTATAAACAACAGATTTTTGTTTCTCACTGGTCTGAGAACTAGGAAGTCTGAGATCAAGGTGCTGGCAGATTCTGTTTCTGGTGGGGGCCCATTTTCTGGTTCCCAGGCAGTGCCATCTTTCTGTCTTTACATGGTGGAAGACATGATGCGTGTAGGGTGTTGTCGCTCTCTGACCTCTTTTACAAGAGCATGAATCCATCCATAAGGGCTTCATCCTTATCACCTGCCAAAGGCACCATGTCTTGATACCATCAGGTTTGGGTTTAGAATTTTAACATATGAATTTTGGTGGGACACACCCATTCAGACGATAGCAGATGCCTTATTGACACCTGGCTGAGACTTTCTCTGCATGGCTCTGAGGTCTGAGGCTTTTCCTGTCTCGTCTTCCTTTCCCTATTTCCTTTTACAGGTGTCACATCTATGTCATGGCCAAGGGTCTTCCTACCTGCATCTGCTCTCGCCCTCTTTATCCTTCATGAGCATTTCTTCCAGTGAGTCTCTTGCAGTTCCAATCCCTTTTTAGCATCAGAAAAAATAAGAGTGAGAATAAAAGAAAATAAATGTATTTATTTTTCTATTTAATGTAATCCTAGAGCTAATGGGATGCCTGAGGCATATTGGGTTCCCAATAAATATTTGTTGGATAAATACCTCCTATGCTCAAGTTGCCTAGAAAAGTGTATGAGAGGCACACATGGTAATAGATATTTGAGGCAGGAGAAAACATTTTTTTAAAAGTTTTTTTTTTTTTTTTTTTTGAGAGAAGAGTAAGTAAGCTGCTTTGGTTATAAAGGATTCTATTGAAGAAACCCTCAGGGGGCTTCATGGAAAACGTAGCATTTTGCATGATTTTAAAGGACATATGAGATTTCCATGAGTGAAGAAGTCATAAGCTTTACAAAATAGTGTTTGAGGAAAGTAGGGAGGTATATTCTACTATATGCTTAAGCTGGACAAGGCAATGGTGCCATATGTCTAGGGGTGGCTGGGGTGGCTTTTTACAGGGCATAAATGGATGTTTTATAAGATGAAGAGGAGAATGCAGAGGGAAACTGGGGAAAGACTTTGTATATACGGTGTATATAAGGTGCATATGTTATACATATATGTATGTATATGTACATGTATATATATGTACATGGGTGTATGTATACATGTATGTATATGAGGTGTATATTTATATGACAAATGGCTTACTGTTTGAATGATCATAGAATAAGAATAAAGATATTCTATAACAGTGCTGTCTTTTTTTGTTTGTATAAATTTATGAGATTCAAGAGCAATTTTGTTACATGTGTAGATTAGATAGTGATGAAGTCAAGGCTTTTAGGGTCTACATCACCCAAATAAAATACATTGTACTCATTAAGTAATTTCTCATCATCCACCCCTCTCCAATCCCTTCGTTCCTTCTAGTCTGCATTGTCTGTGATTCCACACTCTACATCCAAGTGTATATGAGTGAGAACTTGCAGTATTGTTTTCCAGTGAGGTCTAAGGGAAATACAATGTAATGTACAAATTTGAGCTATATATGAGATTTAAAATTTTGTAGTGGTTACGTTAAAAACCTGTGTAAAGAAACAGGTAAAAATATTTTAATAACGTATTTCATGTTATCCAAAATATTATCATTTCTGCGTGTAATCAGTATAATTATTAATGTGATATTTTGCATTGCTTTCTCTTACTAAGCCTTCAAGATCTAGTATTATTTTATGCTTAATAGCATACCTCAATTTAAACGAATTACATTTAAGTGCTCAGGAGCTACCTGTGGCTAATGGATACTGTACTGAAGAACACAGTTGTATAATATCTGATCTGGAATGGCCTAACAAAAAATTGTACAGAATTTATAGCTGAGAGAGGAAACACTTCCAGAAGATGCCCTGAAGAACTCTGCAGGTCGTGGGGAGAATGGCAGACCTTCCCACCCGGGAGGTGGTGACTGAAAGTACAGCCTTTGAGAGGGTTGGTTTTGGAGAATTGCAAGAGCTTGTGCGTTTGAATCTAGCTCTCCCGATGACTAAGTGTGCAACTGTGAGCACATCAGAACCTCTCTGAGCCTGAGCCTGTTTCTCCACATAAAATGATTGTAACAACACCATTCAAGTCTTCCATTGTTTCTTCTGCCAGCATCCTGAACTTGCTCTGATAGAATAGACTGGGAACTAACTACTTACAGAGATCTCAGACCAAGCCATCGTCTTACTAAGGTCATGGCACAGTCAAAGCTCTGTTCTTCCTTATTAAAGTAATGAGAGATGACCCAAAGAGAGAGGGAAAACGAAGGCTTCTGTGGTAATGACAGTCAGCCAGTCAATCATTGAACAGGGAAAAGTGTGTGTATAGTGGGTACCCAGTGCCACATTCACACAAGCCCCGGAATAGACAGACCACACCCACAAAGCACCCACTTGAGCTGAAGAGACAACAGTGAGAATACAGAGATTTCTGCTACATGTTGGTTAATCAGGAACTCCAAACCAAAGCCAAAGCATAGACAGACCACACGAGAGTATTTAGGAAATGCTGAAACCACAGCTCCCTTTATTCTAGGCAGTTACTATTCTAAGCAGTAAGAAATGTATGATTAAAACATGAACAAAGTTTCTTTCTCCATCAAACTCAGAAACAGAGTAAATAAGAAAATGGATATATATTTTATATGCATGTAAAACATAAGATATAAATATATGAATTTAATAGTGACGAGCAATAGAAAGACAAAGAAGCAGGAGGAGGAGAGGATTGGGGTTCAGAGGGTGTTTTAGTTAAATGGAGTCCAGGGAGCATCGCTGTGGAGGTGGCATTTGGACGGAGACTGGAACTAAGGGTGTGGGGGAGTGGGTCAGGCAGAGAGACCAGCAGGCTGTGAGGCTGGGCAGAGGGAGTGAGGGGGAGGTTGGCAGGAGCCACAGGATGCCAGACAGGGCCAGATTTGTGCAGTGTGGGACCTAATTCTCAGTATAGATGCACTGAGCAGGAGAGTGACATCATCCAATTTACGCTTTAAAAAGATCAACCTGGCAGCTCTGAGAATGACTTGGAAGCCGAGAGGATGGGTTTATGGGCTGTGGCTGCAGCCCAGGGGAGTGGTGATGCTGGTGTTGACTAGGGTGATAACAGGGATGAGAAACAGTCTGATCTGGAATCACACTTGAGAAATGCAGGTTTCAAGGAAAGAGCGTAGACTTCAAAGTTAGAAAACCAGAGTTCGAGCCTTCACTCATTACTTTGAAAGCTGTAGGAGGTTGGGTAGCTTATCACAAGTCTGTGATGCTGATTCATTAATGTACCTAAAACCAACAATCATGGCTATGTCTTATCAACTGCTAACTAAACAGTTGGCACCATCATGACTATTAATTGCTGCAGAAACAAACTATCTCAAAACTTCGTGGCTTACAACAATAACAGTGTATTTTCTTTCATGATTTTGTAGGTTAAACAGGTAATCCTTGTTTTCTGATTAGAACTGTCTAGAGCACAAAGATGACTAGAAGTTGGTACTACAGGCCATTGTCTGGCAGCTCAGTTGTGACTGCTGTCCAGTCATCTTGATCCTCTTCCATGTGGCCTCTCCATGTGGCTGCTTGGGCTTCCTCACAGCATGGCAGCTGGCTTCCAAAATGTTGTGTTCCAAACAGGTGAAACCAGAAGCTTCAAATCTAGCCTTATTAGAGCTACACAGCGTCGCTTCTACCACATTTCTGTTTGTTCCAAACAAGTCAGAAGGCCAACCCAGCTTCAAAAAAGGCAGACGTGTCTCTGGCTTTTGATGAGGACATGGCCAGGTCACAAGGCAGCACAGCATGTAGAATGGAGCATACTGCTGTAGCCATCTCTGAAAACGCAATCTTAGATGCTGTGTTGAATGTTATTTCATCTAGTCCTCTCACAATCTTAAAGATTAAGCAGTAGAAAGGGGATCCGACACTTCCCAGCTGTGCCATTTCAACAAGCTACTAAATCTTCTGTGCTTTTGTCTCCTCACATTTAAGTGAGGAAAAGCATGGTACCTACCACATAGGAATTCTCGAAGGAAAAATGAGTTACTGTATGTAAAGCGCTGAAAGTGGTGTGGGGCACATGGTAAACACACTTAATATTAGCTGTTATTCCGTTTCGGTGGGAAGTGGTTATCTTTCCATGTCACAGTTTGAAAACATCAGAAGTTGGATTCAATACCAGAATTCAGAATCTAGTTCACAGGCTCCCCTGGCATCCAGACACCACAGACATTCAACACAGATTTGCCAACAGCCCTAGTGCCTTAGGGCTCACCTTGGTTGCACTGTTTTGTTTACTTTAAATCAGGGAGTGTGAGTTAATCAGAGAGTATATACACAATCACTTTGTAAGCCATAGACGTTTTGTTCATTCATATTTGATTGGTTTTTCTTATTGAAATAATTAGGTGATTAGCCAAAATGAAAAAGGAGAATAAGGCAAAATAGAACCAGAGAGAATGACAGTTAATGACAACAAGCCGACTACGTGGGAGGAAAGAAGGTACAATGTTTATTTCTCAAGCTCTTATTAGTACTTTGTTGCAGGAACTAATCTATGTACCTTTCAACATTAATTTAATTTTCCTAACAGCTCTATGAGGTAAGCACTACTATTTCTCCCACTGCTTAGGAGAAATAGAGTTAAGAATGCTGTGGCATTCAGACAGGTGAATGGACTCACCCAAGGTCACCTGCTGGATAAGTGGTGAAACCAGAATTTAACCCTGTCTCCCTAGCTCCAGGTGCCAAACCCTTGTCATTATGGCCTGCTGTCTCTCTAACAGGGCTTTGAGACCTCAAATTTAAAAGGTGGGTATTTCAGGCCTGGCGCAGAGGCTCACACCTGTAATCCCAGCACTTTGGGAGGCCACGAGGTCAGGAGATGGAGACCATCCTGGCTAACTCGGTGAAACCCCATCTCTACTAAAAACACAAACAATTAGCCGGGCGTGGTGGCAGGCACCTGTAGTCCCAGCTACTTGGGAGGCTGAGGCAGGAGAATGGCGTGAACCCGGGAGGCGGAGCTTGCAGTGAGCTGAGATCCGGCCACTGCACTCCAGCCTGGGCGACAGAGCGAGACTCCATCTAAAAAAAAAAAAAAAAAAAAAAAAAAGAAAGAAACAAAGAAAAAGGTGGGTTTTTCCAGGCATAACCAAGAACTCTTTAGAGCTGAGTCCTGTACCAGAGTTTATATAAACACACTCTACTCTTCCAGATCATTAACATGAACCAGACAGACTTGTAATTAATTTCTATCCATATGGAGTTTTTCCATATTATATTATATTGTAAAGCATTGAATGGGTAGCAAGCACTTTCGTGTGCATTTACACTTTCCATCTCTGGGAGTGGGGCATTCTTCATTTTCTTTTCTGGAGAGTGAGGGAAGGTTTCCGAGTGCAAAGAGACTTGTCCAGGATCTTGAAGTGCAAGTGGTCTTGACACAAGTTCTCTACATTCAGGTTGGAGATCTTCCACCACATCCTTAGTTCTGTGTCCAAGGCATGTATACACTTGAAAGAGTGCTGTTGCATGGATTATTGTTTCAAAAAACTACATGCTTATTAACTCCCTCTTGCCTTGGGGCCTTGGCTCTTTGTGTTCCTTTGCTTCATAATATGTGTGACTCATTGTTATGGATTAAATAATGTCCCACCCAAAGACACTGAAGTCCTAGCCCTCTGTACCTATGAATGTGACTTTATTTGGAATTAGAGTCTTTACAGATGGTCAACCTCAGATGAGGTCTTTAGAGTGGACTGTAATCTTACATGCCCACATTTTTACATAATGAGAAAATTTGGACACAGAGAGAGACACTCACAGAAAGAAGAAAATATGAGGACCTCAGGAGAGCAAACCATCTACACCTTGATCTCCGATCTAATCTCAAGAATTGTGAAATACTACATTTCTGTGGCTTAAGCCTCCCAGTTTGTGATACTTCGTTACAGCAACCACAAGAAATAGATACCCCCACGGTCTTTCCGCCTGACTGTGAGATTGAACGTGATCTTATTTGAGAGGTCCTTCCTGGGTACCTTCAAAGTTGACCCTGACTCTTTAGTGTCTATCATTTTTTTCTTTTTCTTTTTTTTTTTTTTTGAGATGGAGTCTCGCTGTGTCACCCAGGCTGGAGTGCAGCAGCGCGATCTCATCTCACTGCAACCTCTGCCTCCCTGGTTCAAGTAATTCTCTGCCTCAGCCTCCCGAGCAGCTGGGATTATAGGCACCCGCCACCATGCCCAGCTAATTTTTGTATTTTTAGTAGAGACAGCTTTTCACCATCTTGGCCAGGCTGGTCTTAAACTCCTGACCTCGTGATCCACCCACCTTGGCCTCCCAAAGTACTGGGATTACAGGCATGAGCCACCACGCCCGGCCTTAGAGTCTATCATTTCAACACTTCTTTGCTTGTCATAATTTAAAACAAAAAAATCTTGCTTATGTAATTATTTGTTTAAAGTCTACCCCCCCACTTTGTTTAAAGTCTACCCCCACCCCATCAGAATGTTTGCTTTGTGAAGGTTAGAACCCTGTCTGTCTTGTTTATCAAGAGAGGTCGGCATAAAGTGCAAATAATGGCCAGGTGCAGTGGCTCATATCTGCAATTCCAGCACTTTGGGAAGCCGAGGCATGTGGATCACTTGAGGTCAGGAGTTCAAGACCAGCCTGGGCAACAGAATAAAACTCCTTCTCTACTATAAATACACAAAAAATTAGCTGAGTGTGGTGGTGTGTGCCTGTAATCCCAGCTACTTGGGAGGCTGAGGCAGGAAAATAGCTTGAACCTGAGAAGCAAAGGTTGCAATGAGCTGAGATTGTGCCACTGCATTCCAGCTTGGGCATCAGAGTGAGACCCTGCCTCCCCCCGCCCCTCCCTCCCAAAAGTGCCAGTAACATGACCAGTAAGAAAGGTAGGGAAGGATGAAGAAAGAATGGAAGCACATTAAAAAAAAAAATTAGCTGGAGCTGGCTGCTTTTGTGAAAGTGCTTTATCATGTAGCATGTACCTACATTATTATTATTATTATTGACAATGCCATCATAATTGTTACATTTTTATTCATAAGTGAGTCCATTTATACTCCATTATATCCAGATTTTGGAAACCAGTTGAAGAAATCTGCTGCCTCCCTGGAGATGTTTGCCCACAGTTTTATTTCATCATCAACTGTAGATCCTTTTGATTTTGAAGCATACTGATTCCAGGATCTGCTAAAAATAAATATTTGCCTTATTAATGTGCTTGCTCATTTACTAATTGCTTTTTTAATACCAGAGTCTTTTTCCAGCTGGGGTTTGTATAACCTTTATCGATCTCACTTTACTTCTAATTACATGTGTTCTTCATTTGTAGCTAAAAGTAACTCTTGTCATCATTCCTGTCAGATTTGATCCATGACACTTTAATTACTATAATTTCTTTTCCCTGCAATAGCAGCAAAAGTGTCCACAAAAATTTTTGTTAGGCCAATTCCTCATCCAAAGGAATGACAAATTTGGATTTTAAAGGAGCAGATTTTTAGTTGTGATCCTTGTCTGTGCTCCTTAAAGAGTTGGGCTTCCTTCGTTCCTTCCTTATTGCGGGCTGGGCTGATCCATTTACTGCACTGTCACTGTGCCATGCAAAGAGAAGCTGAGTTAGAGAGAAAAACCTCAGTTCAACCTGGAGACCTGCAATGTATTCCTGGTAGCCCTGTTGTGGGCTCTTGGGCAGGTCACTGAAGTTGTCTGACCTACAGTTTCATCACCTTTGAGATGAACATGGTGAATCACCTGTCCGTGTGCAACCCAAGGAGGGGTTGCTTTAGATGGAAACCCCCATAACTTTCCACATGACATGAACCGCAGCATCCTAGGAAATGGCAGCCACTTACATTGTGTTGATTTCTTCTTCACCTAAATATTCTTTTACCTTATTTTTGATTCCTTGATGAAAGTAGGGGGCATGGGAAAGGCAGGGAAGGAGAGAGGAAGAGAAAACAAGAGCAAGCCCTGCCCTGTTGCCTCCTAAAGGTGCCTGGACCTTGATCAAGGGCTTTCCAAGCAAGAGTTCCCTCCTCAGCCCATGGCTGTGAAGACGAGGGTTTGCCCTCTCCAGTTCCACAGAGTTGGTGGATATGTCCAGACAGATAACTATTAATGAGTCCTGGTTAATAGGCTGGTCTAGGGATTCTAATACATGGAAATTAACCCAGTAAAATCATAGGATTCCTTCTCAGAAATGGGGAATATGGACTCCTTCATTCCAGACCTTGCCACCTCACAGGATGGAGAATGTATCGACAACATCAGGAACATCCAGTGAGGCAGGTGCAGTGTGGCCTGGAAAGAGAGCCCAGGCTGCAGAGGGTCCATTTCACTTCTCACCCTGGAGCAGAGGGGAGGCAGTGCCACAGTCTTTCCCCTCCCTTGCTGTGATGTCAGATGGATGTCGATTTGAGGGGAAGCAGGAAAGCAAAGTGATTCTTGCACAGCTCAAGGCTGCTCTGTGTGTGTATGTTTGATTGTGTGTGTGCACATATGTGTGAGTGTGCATGTGTATGCATGTGTGAGTGTGTGCATATATGTGTGTATGTGGGCATTGTGTGTGTGCATGTGTGTGTGAGTGTGTGTGTGCGAGAGAGTCTGCACATAGAGGGAATGAAGGGAAGGAGATTATATTTTTAAACACTTCCTATGTACCAGGAACTATGGTGGAAACTGCTCTGTTATTAGGTGGTGGTGACTTTGATAAAAATTAGAAAGAAATTGTAATTCTTGGACAGCTGGAGATCACAATGTGTGAGTGTGTGAGGGAGTGTGAGTGTTGGAGTGTGTGTGTTTGGGGGGTGGGGGAGGTGCAGAAAATAAAGCAAGATCTATGCATCAGAATTCCAGCTCTGCCACTAACCAGCTCAGAAACCTCAGGATGCGCTATTTAGCTTTTCACATCCTTTGTCTCTTTATTTGGAAAAAGTGTGAGGGGAAAGAGAAGATTCACTAATAAATGTTTGAGAAGTGGGCCTAATACATTGCACTTAGAAGCGTGCAATTTATATTAACACAGGTTCTGTGGGACCCTCATGGCTCTTGGTATCAGAAACCTTGAGGGTGCATCATTTGTCTTCCTTGCTCTAAATTGGAGTTGAAATCTCTGATTTTGGGGGAAGTCCTTCTGATGCTGGAGGGTGAGTGGAACCAGGTGGGACCTGAGGAGGAGGTCCGGTTTTGTGGGAAATGGGGAAACACCAGGAAGCCCCTTAATACTTGCATCCCCTCAGCCAGTCAACACCTATTTCCAGCCAGCTCCACAGTGGCAGGACATACCCTCCAGCACTTCTGCTCACCTGCCGGCCTGAAAGGAGAGTGTAGGGAGTTAAAAGCAGTAACAAAGTTGCCCCAGGAGACCTCCGAAACTTCCAGTGTCATTTTCATTTCTGTTTCAGACAATAGCATACGCGCTGCACAGCATTTCTCCTATCTGCCCCTTCAGTCCACTCTCCACCCTCTGTCCAGAACCCTGAGGCCACCCAGCACATGTGGTCTCAATGAGCCCTTTCCTTCTGGCTTCTGAGGGGAACCGAGTTGACAGGAGGCATGAGGCTGGATGGAGCCAAGGATGATGGTGGGGGTCTCACTTGGCTTCCTTCTGCATGGTCATGATGGCTGAGTGTGTTAACCAGGGACTGCTTATTCTTCCTGTTAGGCAGCCCTTTCTTTTCTCTGGGTCCTGAGATCGACCCTTTCCCTGGCTCATTCTAGCCTAAGAATGGCGAGGTGCCTCCATATCACCCATGCCCTTGTGTGCTTTTCTCAAAATCTGCCCATCCCTTTGCAAATTGTTCCTTTCTTAAAGGCTCTGTGCATCCACAGTTTGGCCGTGCCTGCTGTCTGTCATTGCCTGTGAGGGCCCTGACTGATGTACATGACTACCTGCCCCCAATACCTGTTCTCTTCTTTCATAATGTAGAATTGTTGCTGAGAAGAGGACTCCCACCCGGGGACTTCCTTTTTGGGGCACCATGCCCCAAGGTGGGCCACACAGCCAGTTTGGGCCAATGGAAAGCGAGCCTGTGAGGGTCTCCTGAGCATTCTCATGCTTTCATCTCCTCCTAGGGCAATCCTGGAGGCTAGTTCTTGAAGATGAGGTTATCACAAGATGTGGAAGGGGGCTGGATTCCTGAATCACTGCTTGAAGGAGAGCCACCTACCCTGGAAAATGAGTGAGAGATAAGCATATAATATGGAAATCCACTGAGCTTGGGCCTGGTTCTGTCAGGCCACCCTGAGTCACAGAAAGAAGTCATTTTTTATTGTATCTATTGTATTCAACTTTTTAAAGTACATCGTTACTGAAATTGATGACACAACTTTAATCTGAAAGTCGTAATTGCCATTTTACAGACGAAGAAATGAAGACTCAGTAAGTTCCTCCTCTGAGGCCACACTACTGTTATGGGCTAAACTGTGACCTCCAAATATTCATGTTGAAGTCCTTCTAGTACCTCAGAATGTGACTATTTAGAGATAGGGTCTTTAAAGAGGTGATTCATGTTAAATGAGGTCATTAGGTTGGGCTCTAATCCAATGACCGGGGTCCTCATAAGAAGAGATGATTGGGTTACAGATGCACACAGAGACCAGGTGCAACAGAGGGAGAAGAGAGCCACCTGCAAACCCTCGGAAGAAAACAACCCTGCTGACCCCTTGACCTCAGACTTCTATCCTCCAGAACTGTGAGGAAATAAGTTGCGGTTGTCCGAGCCACTCATTCTGAGGCACTTTGCGATGCCAGCCCTAGCAAATGAATAAAAGTGTCATGATCAGGATGGAGCCCGGCTTGTCCCTGTCATCCAGAGCTATGCACAATTCCTGGAACACACTTGCAGCCTCAGCCTTAGATCCAGTGCTTGCCCAAGACAGCTGGTATGAACAAAAATTGCTAGACCAAATTATTAAGTGAACCGGCATGAATTTTTGAGTGTCCTCATCTCCTTGCTCCATTTCTCCATCAGCACTCTTTCCACTTTACTGTTGGGTGAGATTTCAGGGTGACCTAGTTTGTTCACTGTCTCCCCTCCCCCATTTTGCAGATGTGGAACTGTAGCTCCAAGAGGCAAAATAATATTTCTGAGGTATCAGCTTGATATTCTGTAACTTCAGTGACTGCAGGGGAAACTGGAACTCGCAGAGGTTAAGTGGCTTGTCCATGGACACCAAGCACCAAGTCTTTTGACCTTGACATCACCTCTCAGCCCTTACAGCATAAGCAGAGACAGATTGTTCTGCAAAGAATGACACCTCCTTGCAATGACTATGAATTATACAATATTTTTATATTAAAAATGATTCTGTGCTCTTTAGAGAGAGGATGGAATTGATATTGAGTGATGAACGAACCCTGCCAGATTCCAGTGATGTAAATGAGCTAGGTTTTAATATGCCAAAGAATACAGCAAAAGAACTGACAGTCACATCCCCACAATGGGAGAGACCAGTGTTGGGGCAGGAGTCAAAGCGCGTTTGTTTCAGAAGCAGCTCACCTTCTGAGTAGCATTTGAATGAGTTTGGTGGCTTTCTTTGTTTCACTTTTAATACATCATTTTGATGACTTCCATTGGCATAAAAAGTCAGTGACAACTGGAGTCAGATAGCCTGGGGCTATTCTAATTGTGTGACCCTGGGGAAATACGTGAATCTCCTTGAGACTTAATTTTCTCTTCAATAAAATGGGAATAGCAAAAATAATTACACTAGAGGTTTGTTGAGACAATTAAGCATGTTAGTGCCTAGTACAGCATTGGAGATATTATCCTTGATCCATTGATTTTAATTCTCCCTGCCCTACACATCAATTTTTCTATTGATACAACATGCATAACACTTCAATTGTTTAACCCTGAAAACAGTTGTCAGGGTTAAGTTGGGTGATGTCTTTGTAGGCAACTAGAGGGTTTTAAACTGTGATACACATAAAAAGTTAGAGCTGTTACTTTTTTTCAGCAATTGTGTCCCAGAATTTGGCACATGAAAGTTGTTCAATAAAACGCTGATTGAATTGAATTACGATAAATCAAACTCCCCTGCATAAATGTTATGATTTTATTAACCCAAGAAATTCACAAGTATTTTTCTGAATCAAAATGCTAAAGCTATTGGCAATGTGTGTATTAAAGAAAGGAAGAAAAGCAACCTGCATTTGGACGTAATGTTACTACACCTACTGGAAATGACCAGTTAACAATTTGTCCACAAAAAT